TAGTAGTAGTAGTAGTAATAGCAGCGTGAAAATTTCGATGACGATAATGACATTGATAGTGACAATGATGATGATGATGATGAAGATGATGATGATGATGTCGAGTATGAGAACGGTTGTAAGTGTCCATGCTTTGCCTTGATGCGTGTGAGAGTGGAACCGTTCGTCTGGGCACATGACCCCCTCAAGCTGTGACGTTTCTTTCCAAGCTTGATGTCTCGCGGAGTAGTTCCTGGTCCCCGGATCGACCCTTCTGTATTGAGACGCATCGTGACAGGCTGGCAAGATCATGGACGCGCAGTTCCTGATCAGGCGGACTTCGAAGCTAGTCAGTCTTAAGATTTGCTGGTATTGGTCCAAGCCTTCCTGACTTGCGAGCCCGGCTGACAAGTCCTAGCCCGTGCTTGCTGCATGCATTGTCGTCTGTAAATTGCAGTTTACAGTCGAGGGCTTGGCATGAAGTTGGCCTCGAATGTGGCTTCGGCTCTCGGGTTGAAGGCTCAAGCACACTCTCAGGTGCGGAATTCGGTGCTACGGGTCAAATTTCAACCCCGAAATCGAAATTAAGGCCTAACGCCTAACCCACACCAAAATTAAGCCCGACACCACAATTGCTCCGAGCTTACACCGGAGAGGAAATATGGGCTTGGCTGGACGAAGAATGACGATCCTTGACTTGCACCGCAGCCTTGGAATGTGGGAAACCTTCCGAGACATTCCTGTTCCTCGTAGTGCTCCATTCCATCGTCACTCATGCAATATCCCGATACTCTATTGTTAGCTGCACCTAAATGAAAGAAATGCCTGTTTTGGCTTGTTTCTGGTTCGGAACACGTAGTCGTACAGTACGTTCCCCACGATGCCGTGATCTTACGCTTACATTGATTTGCATCGTGTCCTCAAAACCTTGTTCTCTTTTGCTACGGTACGATGCCGCTGCAGTCTTGGCTTAGTTGTATTCGTTTCAGCATGATGCTTCCACCTCCACCGTTTCAATTTCGCAATTTTCGAGAATGGTGCGATGGTCCGGCAGCATTATGTGTCTGATGGTTCGAAAAGTCATCCCAAATACTGTATGTGTTTGTGTCGCATACTTCGTCGGTGCTGATCCTGTTCTTCATGGCGAGCTGGAACTCCCGTCCTTTTCTGGTCAATGCCGGTGGGCCACTGTGATGGTGACATTCATGAGCAGGCCATACCACATACCGCGTGGGCTCGGGCTACTCTGTTTGAACTGATAGGGGCCACCAGCAACCACATAGTGCTCGCTGCGTCGTGCATAACACATGGCGTGACAGCCTCATACTTTTGTCCACATTAGTGCAGAATACTCTTCTATGGCCGTCGCTCAACGAGTGTATGGGCTGATGATGCCATGCTATTACTATTGCACAGTCGGACATTGCGACACGACTGTGCAGTCGGTACTGCCTTAGACTCGTCCATATATCGGTAGAGTGCTTCAACTTCTTTCCTGTTGTCGCATCGTGAAAATTGCACTGCAGGAGTACTGCACATGGGCGTTCATAAAAGCGTTGCTTCTGCCGCTGTTCTCATCACGGTGCGCTTGTGCGGCAAGCCACGGCCCTACAGTCAAATTCTTGACCGTTTGGATGAAGAGCCCTGAACCTTGCACCACCATTCAGCTGGGACGCTTCTACTGAGAGGCTGGAGTTGCACACGGAAATCCTACAAGCCTTACGATTCTCCAAGATTTGTACTTCGCCAGCCGAGGACAACGTCTTACACCTTACTGTTCGTTCAGCGCCCAGCACTGGGCAGTCATAGACTGGGACACAGTGCATTCTGGCATCTGCGACTCTGACCGTAGCAATGGATTACAAGAACTTGGTATGCTTCATGGACAAGAACTTCAGCGAATACAGATAGATCGAGGAAGCGTCAAAGGATTGTAGCCAGTCGCCCGGCACTTGCGGACACAGGGGCGAGTCAACTATTACTACTGCTCCTCCTGCTGCTGCTGCCGCTGCCGACGATGACGGAAAACGCCGACGACGACCATGACTGCTACTGCTATCATTTCTTCGTTTACTGCATCTTCTGCAACTAGGACTGCTACTACTTGCATACTGAGAACCACAAAGAGAACGACGACGGCGAATGCTGCTGCTACTTCTAATCCTGCTGCTGCTGCTGCTGCTGCTGCTATTCTACTACTACTGCTGCTGCTGCTGCTGCTACTACTACTACTACTACTACTACCAATACGACTACTACTACTACTACTACTACTACTACCGCTACTACTATTACTACGACGCCTCCTCATCCTACTACTAGTACTGGTAGTAGCAGCAGCAGCAGTAGCGGCAGTAGCAGTCGAAGTAAGAGTGGCAGTGGTAGCAATTAGTAGTTGTAGCCGTCTCGTCGTCCTAGCAGTAGTACTGGTACCACCATAGTCGCGCTGAAGTCAGTACCAACACTGTCAACTGTCCGCAACAAATCCCTGGTTCGAGAATCGGCCAACAACCTTCAACAAAGCTCAAGCTCCAAGATGCCAAACAAGATACGGCATGGTGATTCCCAAGGACCCACTTTCATCTGCATCTTTTTCAGAGCCTTCCTCATCAGCAAGTTACTAACGTTTGAGCAAGCCGCTGAGGTCTTCGGACGTCCCCTTGTTCGCCAAGGTCGATACTGACTGCATCCCCTTCGCGACGGCCTGCGGCGCTTTCAGCGGCAGTTTGCACGAATAAGCCAAAGCCCCCGACGGCAACGGAACACGAAGTGCGGCTCGAGAGTAACCGTGAGAGATCCCCTTGCCGGTTCTGAGAGTCTTTGTTTTACATGTCTATGAAAACCGTCAAAGGCCAACCGTCATTGCTCGGATGTGTGCCCGCTGAGACAGTGCAAAGGCACACGTCCTGCCAAGCCCCGTGGATCCTTAGGCATAGAGCCTGGGCTTGTCGCTCGAAACCCCTGCCCACTCCTGAAAACACCACTGAAAGCATACTGACACTGAAGCTTGTCCCTTGATACTGCATGATAATGCATACCGCAAAGGTTGAAGGAGTGCAAGCGTGAAGGCATGGATTCTTTTTCATGGATATGCAAACATCGGAAATCGGCCTCCAACTCTTTGGTAGAGAGAACGGTTACACCCTCCAGGCCATCAAAGGTCTTCTCATCGCTGGTCACCACCAGCCTTCGACTGCATCGCAAAGGGACTCAGAAACATCTTGAGCTTAAGTCATCTAGACCCACCCAAGAAGCATCAGTAGGAGCGGAAGGAGGCTCCATTACAGAACAAGCATGTGGCCTGACGGGTAGGGTTGGAGACAAAGCTGCCATGTGAAGTCCGGTTGAACGACAGCTGGGGCAGCACAGCGAATTCATCTTATGTTCATGCGTACATGGCCACCGGGAATACGTGCTTGCAAGGGCTTCGTTATAGAGACACTTCAGGCGACCCAGTGGGCCCAACCCGACCTCGCACCACAGTTCTGCATCATCGTGTCCATTCGCGACAAAGGCAGGGACGAGTCCAAGGGCATGAAGACAGCATCCGCCTGCCGCTGGACTTAGGAAGAATGTCGGGTTCAAGCACGCAGATGCCCCCGCGGCCTTCAGCACGCCCAAGAGCAAAGGGATCATCAAGGCACGCCTTTCGTCCCGAGCGAAGCAAGCCCTGTACATCTAAAGGCGGGAAGAAGACGAATGAGGTCATATGCAGGTCTATGTCGCAGGTAGAGAGAAGCCAAGACTAAGGCATGCCAGTCCTGCAACAAATCAGCTTTCATCGACTCTGGGTGGTTAAGGATTCTTGGGCGCATCGTCCAGGCGCCGCAGGGTTCTGCATGAACACACTAAGGCTCACTAAGCCTTCTCAACACATCATGCGTGTATGGCGAGGCACTTCTCCGGCATATGGATGGCAACCACCTTGCTGTCGTGCTTGCTGAGTAGGCTCGCGATCCGGTCCGACAGGCTACGCAAGTCGGCGTATGTCAGCGTTTCCTCGGCGGGACTAGTAGTAAGAGTGCAAACGCAGGGCTTCATGCAGGGGTGCAAGGTGTGCAGGAGTGACTTGTGAAGCTGACCCCGAAAATCAATGCTGCTGGTAGAGGCATCACTCCGTGTGATCGCGATATTAAGCTCCGATGACTTCTCAAAGTCAGAGCACTGCTCTTACTCCAGCCTGCATCGCATCAAAGTAAGAGATGGCCGTTCTGAGAGCTTTGGTAAATCTGTGTGAAATTGTGTGAATCTCATCTATAGGCCATAGGCCTTGGCCTAAGCATGCCGACAGAGCCCAACCCTTTCTCGCCGCCTGCTTGGGATCTATAATTTTTTGTCAGTGCTGTTGCTTGGTGGCTGGCGCGGGCTCCAGGTTGGCCCAGCCTTCGGTGCCCGACTCCAAGCAGCTCTTATGCCTGAAACCACAAAGCTCAAACAGCAAACTGCCAAACGCGAAACTCCCCCAGACATTTGTATAAGCCACAAAGGCTCTGCTCCACAGCGCACCGCAATCTTGCTGCCTTCCGGCTTTGGCCGCCCGTCCTCGTGGCAAGGTTGAACCAAGGTTGAACGATGACATTCCAAGCACACCGGCACAAGGACTCCATACCACCCGGTAGCAAGAAGCAGCGCAAGTCCCCGAAGTCTCAATTCAACAGTGTTCGGAATCACCACCTACCAAAATACAGTGTCAGCAGCAGATGCTCCGCAATTACCATGAGACTGAGATTTGAAAACTATCCCTCAGCCCAACCAACACTGCATTTCCCGTGTTCTGAAGACGGTAGCATTGGAACCGCAACCCCAACCAATCTCCTCCACCAGACCCATCTCGAAGAGGTCGTCGTAGCGCGGCGAGCCGATCGAAGGCAGCTCGGGTCCATGAGAATTGCGGAGAATAGCCTGATGTGCGATGTGTTGGCACGCCCTTGCAAGAATTGCAGGACCGCACCTCCAGCCTATACTAAGACTGCCGTCTCCATGCAAACTCCTTTCCATTTGTTACGAAGAACCTCGACAGTACCTGACGTCACAATCTGTGTCTCAGACCCAAGGCAGAGCTTGTCTGATGCCATTGCTCATTCTCGGATTCGGGCTTCGGCTTGTTAAGCCCTCTGTTGAGAGATTTCATGCAAGCGCATGTATCATTTGCATGGCCAGTGCTTTCTTGCTGCGTTGGGCCTGCTGCTTTTGGAGTTTCAGCAGAAACATCTTCGTCTAGCATACACCAGCAACCCTTTGTCGAGCCTGCTTCTGATCTTTCGCGAGAACATCGAGCTCGCTCAATTTCTTGTGCGGGTTCTGGACAGCATCCTTGAAAACCTGCGGGACGACTTGAAGCTGAATTAGCTTCCGGCTTTGGAGTTGACACAATATCTGTTGTCTTACTGAGGCAATTCGACATCTCTGCCGCACATACCCCTGGCTGTTGTGGCTCCCCTCGGCAGTTGTCGACGCAGTGACGAAACGGCGGGGATCAGCAGAGAAACTATCAACGGGACAGCATGGGGTTCGGAGCTTGGAACACGATGCAGCACAGCAAGATGAAATATGCAGTCTCAAGAATGCTTGAGAGCAGAGCATGATGGATGGAACGCCGCAAGAGCATGTCTGGAAATATCCATGCTCGGAAAGCTTGTGGGCCAGGCAAGTCTGAAAACAAACCCATGCCACGAGCTCTGCAAAACATCGAGAACAGTAGCACTTCCTTTAGATGCGTGCGGTCGACACAAGCCGGATAAGGAAGAGCCACAGCAACCGCCCCCTACTCAATCACCATACACTACCAGGCGCTTCGCGCTTCCCCCTGCACCTGCAACCAGAGCTGCACCAACGCATCAACCGAGCTTTGCGTGAGGACGTTCTTCTGGTACGCCACATAGACCTTTTTGGGTGGTGGTGGTTGTGACAGCTATGACAATTCCGGTCACTCGTAAAGAGTTTGTACAAGATCTGAAGTTTCACAGAACAGCAGGTGGGCGTGCATGAGGCAGGCAATCCAAACAAGCTCAAAAAAACAAGACCTACACTGCACGAGAATCGAATGGCCCAATAGCGGATGATTATTCCGGATCCATGGATGATCAAGCGATAGATGTGGTGGGTGTAGTGGTTGCTTTGTTGAGCCAAATGCCAAACGTGATGCGAAGAAGCGCAACATCCGGGAGCCAGGACTTGGAGCTACGAATACCGAAATCTAGCACCTGATGCTTGTCCTTGCCACCCACCACCCCCTTAAACAGCACTCAAAGGCGGAGTCTGTTGAGAAACTACTTCTTCTGCGGAACCCAGAGGCTTGTGGTCTCAGAAGCGAAGTAGAACAGCTTTCGGAAATAGCGCTGCGTGTCTCTGTGACCAAATCAGATGAGGCAAAGTAAACCTTCGTTATTGCATGATGGCACTACCCCGTACATCTCAAGCTCTATGGCAGAAGTACCAAAAGGTCTCAAATAGTTCTGGTAGAACTATTTCTTCTTGCTTTCGTGCTGCTTCGCTTCTTGCTTGGTATCTCTCTCACACGCACACACTCTCTCTCTCTCTCTCTCGCTCTCTCGCTCTCTCGCTCTCTCTCCAGCATGCACCAAGCCGTGTCTTCGACTTGCGCCTCGCATTGCGTTTGGAAGCTGACGACTCCATGTCGGATGCCAAGCCCAGATGCGTGATCAAGACTCACGGCAGCTAGTCAGTCAGTCTAAGACAGCTAAGATAGCGGACTCCACAACAAGAATCTTGGAGGATATTTGCATACTCTTCGAAGGAGCCGTCCATGAGTTGCTCTTTCATGTGGCATCGGGTGGATTTGCATGGTTTGGCATCAGACATGATGTGCGTCATTCAAGAGAACATGAAGCGAGGCTTCTTCGGCAGGGTAAATTCGGCTCATGCCTGAGAGCTGAACTACGTCGAGTACAAGTTTGCTGTCAGTTAACAGGCCCAGGACGGCCCAAACCGCTTGAAAGCCGAAAAACCCTGAACCGCCCCCAAATTCCAAAATTCCGAACTCCCTAAACCCTGAACTGCCTGCCTCCGTCGCCTCCTCCCTTGGGTGCACGCGGATCGTGCATGGGTTGATGGTCGAATCGTGATCCACGACAACCATGTCCGTGGGGAGTTCCTGAGGCGCTGGGACCAGGTTGAGGATTAGACAAGGACTGGGACACTATAAAGGCAAATGAACAGCGGCAACTTGCAGGGGGGTCCCACAATCAGGGCAGCAGTGAGTTGGACAGCATGGCCAATGACCCTCACCGTTCACGAGTGGATACTCGTGGCAGACACTGGGCAAACAGGCAGCAGACTCGTGGGTGACGGCTTTTAGCGGAACTCGCACTGAAAATGCGGTGATTTCCCGTTTTCTGCTGCACGTTGCGGGGGGTTGGAGGCTTCCGTTTCAAAAAGGTCCCTTCCGGCCCTTCGCTCCGCTGCTGCGGGCCGGCACCGGGCCTTGAAGGAGCCCCGACCACTGCGGCCCCCGGGGCCCACCAGACGCCCACCGAAAGAAAAAAGGGAAGCCACCGCCGACGGGGACGCGCCTTCGCAGAAGTCCAAAGGCGCCGCAAGGAGAGACCCCACTCCAGAGGCCTCCCAGCGCGCCTTCAAAAAAAAAAAACACCCTTCAAAGCCCTCCAATCACCTTAGGTCAGCCACGCGTCGTAGCTGGCCAGCATGTACTCGAGGACGGCTTGTTTTCCTTGAAGCTCATCGAAGGGGAACTGGCCATGTCGCTTTGAGCTTCGAACATTGCTCCGAACTTGCTCCACCAGCTGGTCGAAGGTCATGTCACCCGAGACCTTGCAGGCTTGCAGAGGACAGTTGCTAAAGTGCCTGGGCACCCTGGACGCGACAACATTGGCACTAGCTGATTGCACCTCCTGGCGCAAAGGCAGAATGTTGATGCAGTTTCCGTTGACTCGCTTCAGGTCTTGCTCCATTCGCCCGTGGAAGGTTGTGGAGACCATCAAGTCGCTCTTCCCGGTCGCGAGGTGCAAGGCCCAATAGTATGCCGCCAGGTAGGCTTGAAAGTAGGAGATCTTGCGCTCCTGACAGTACGTCCTTGGGGCGACACCGACATGGGGGCATGGCTCTGGGACAACATGACACAGAGATCGGGCTTGGCAAAACCTCCTGTCTCTGGGCCCAAGCCCACAGTGTTGGCCTCCCGCCTTCTTACCCCTCAACATTGCTTTCTCACTCGTCTGCGGAGTCCGTGCTGGCCAGCACAGGCACAGGTTGGCAGCATTCGAAAGATTGATCTGGTGTAAGGAGTCTTCGCTGCTTCGTTGCAGATAAGCCTCTTGGCCATTTGCATGTAGTCGACATTGCTTGGAATCGAGTATGTGCCTGGAGCATCGCGTGTTCGCGTGCCGACACGCCAGTCCAGTTCTAGTTTGAATCTCAACAGACTGCTGCATAAGTCCGGCTTGCTCAAAGACTCCTGAAGTCGTTGACATCAGGCCTTATGGAAGCCTGCTGAGCCCTGCTCAACCAGAGCCAACCAAGTTGCAAAACTCAGCCTCGAACTTGCTCTTGCTGTCCTGCACACTTGTCATGTAGTAATGCGGTGTGGCCTCTAGACCTGGGCTCATTTGTGTAGGTCTATGTACAAGCCGATTTTCAGACCCCAAGGCCGCGAGTAGTCACGCGGAACACAGCCCAGTACAAGCCAAGACTGGGTTGACACCGTCTCGTAAAGATTTTGCACGGGTAAGGAGGTGGTGGTGAGACTGAAGAGGAGGGTCGGCTCTAGAGTGAAACCACGTGTTTTAGGACATGGAGTTCTGACAACTGGGCAGGTTGAGGTCGCCAACCGAGGTCGCTCACCCGTGCAGGCTAGGAAGCCTCGAGGCACCAAGATTTGTCTCTTGGGTCCTCTTTGGCCCCCTGGACGTGCTCCCTATAGCCACCCCCAAGCTTGTGGGAATATAGCTTCGAGCCATCTCAGCGAAGATTTAAGGTTCCTGCAATCGGAGTAGACCTTGCTAGCGAAAGCTATAGAGAGAGTCACAATATCATGTGCTACGGATCAAAACGACCAGCTCTTTGCGCTACTGTACCCGAACGGCAATCCTCTACCAGCCATCGTGAAGCGACCAAAGTCAGGCATCCCACGTTAACTTGATGTTATGTCTACGTTCTGATTCCAGCCACTCGAAACCCTTCTCTGCACGCCTTCAGGTCATGGACGGCACCTTCCTGGTACACTCCACCAAAGAGGTCGGTTCCTACTGGAGAGGTGCCGTCCAGCTTCTCCATCCAGAATTTCCTCGAGGCTGGAGCTGGGGGAGAGTTTGAGTTGCCGAGGACCGGGCTCTCTAAGGATAAAGGACATGTGGTTGGAGCTTTTTTTCCACGTTCTCTGCCCGATTCGAAGAGTAAAGTGGTGCCAAGACTCTTGTCTGTCTCGTACTGTGAAGACCTGCACAGGGCCAAGGCTTTGGCGCACCCCCGGATACATGCCTAGCCAGCTTTCTCGTCTTTCGGGTGCGGAGGTTCAGGGGTTCAGGAGTTCTATTCCAAGGCTTCAGCCCTGCCTTAGAGCTCAGCCCAGAGGGACCCTAACAGGAAAGACCACCCAGGCTGCCCGAAACATCTGATACCTTGCGAATCGTCCAGGAACACAGCGAAACAAAACGGAGTGACGAAGGCAACAGCAGTACATTTTCGGACCTCTAGACTCTAGATTTGATCTGAACATTCTACTCGGGAATGCCTACAGATTCCCATCTGTGTGCGCCAGCCGCTCAAATGTAGCCTGCACCTACTGGGTGCAGAAAACACTGTGCTCCTGCGAATGCACCCAGACCCGGATCTCCAACGGGCCCCACCTCAAGTATCGTAGCTCATGATCAACAAAGACGGAATAGGGAAGCAACTCCTGACTGAGCTCGAGTTCCCTGTATCATAGGAATTCGGGATACGAAAACGACTACGACTGCGACTACGACTACTAATGATACCTAGGATAAGATTACTAATAACAACAATGACAACAATAGTTGTAGTAATAATAACAATAATAATAACAATAATAATAATAGTAATAATAATGATAATATAATAACGCGACTGCTGTCAAAGAGCATCACGGGACTGGGCAATGAACCCGGCATCTCTGCTCACGCAAACCAGAACATGAGAAGGGCAAGAAGCTCAGCATTCGCGGTCCAGCATCCAAGTCCGGTGCAAATCAATTCTACAAGCGAAGCGAAGTGCTCTCGAGAGGCACATCGAAAGTATGCCGCAACAAAGCACTAATTATACCTATGACGGCATTACGGAAATGCTCACCATCTCCTGAGGCTTGCGATCCGGCAGCGAGTCGGTGCGGCCCAATCGCACATTGTACTGGTATTGAATCCTTGGGTCCAAATCTCGCTGCAAGCTGAGTGAAGTAGGAAGCTTGTACCGCGTGGCCTCGCTTCCCTCACAACCCGTGTGCTGGGCATCATTCAATACATGCTACTTTTCCGGAGGTCTAAGTCTAAGTTGAATATGTCATTCTTGAGATACGGAGTTGATGGGTAAACAAACTAAGCATGCATAACTGCATGACACAATGCCTGCATCAATGAACTGCACGGAAGCAGAATGGTGAATGCACAGGCCCCGCTTTGCTCACATAGAGCTCGTTGCACAACTTCTTGGGGCCACCCACAGTGCTTTTTGCAAGTGGATCTTGCTACATTCGCTTATGGAGAAGTCAAAGCTTGTCTACCAAAGTTCGTAGACAAAGACAAACCTGGCATGCTGCTTCGCTCATACTGCCAAGGCTCAGTCTCAGCACGGCCGGCAAACTCGTACCATCCTCCAGCCTTAGCGAATTCAGTAATTTTCGAGCCGGTAGCCACAAGAAAAGCAGCCTTTGGGCATGTTGGATCTGACCATAACTGCAAACCCAAGCATGCCTCGAGCCTCTAAATGAACCTGCAACAAGCTTGCAGATGAAGACGGCTGAATCCGGCAATGTGCAAGGCCGAACATTAAGCAAAGGCTGAAGCAGCTGAAGGTTGAAACTTCTGGATGCTTCAGCCTGGAGGCTTGGCTTTGCAACTTCAGATCAAGCTAAACATCGTTCCATTCGTCCTTGCCTTCACCATCATCGTCATCATCATCCTCATCAACCCCACCATGATCATCATCTTCTTATTCGTGAACTTCATCATCATGCCCATCCTGCCCATTCTCGTTATAGCCGTCTTCCTCCTCATCTTTTTTATCATCCCTGCTCCTCCCTCTTCCCTCATAGTCCGAATCATCAAAACGAGAGTCCATGACCTTTGGCAATCGTGCGGTTGCCAGCGGCTGGGTGGCCCTGCAGGAGCCAAAAAAAATCATCTTCGATACCAGAAAGGCTCCAAGTAACAGGTGCCTACGACGAGTCGGCTCTACCGACTATACCCGCTGATGTGCATGATGGAAGTCAACACAACGAAGCTCCTTTGAATATGCCTCTGGCAAGGGAGAGCCTGAACCATCAACCCTGCTTTGACAGGCCGAGCAGCATATGGTTTGCAAGCACATGCAAACCCACCTGAACGTGGGCACATTAAGGGTCCTTTCGCACATGGGGATTGCTACAGCCATGAGTCTTGTGGGGTTTTCTTCACAAAACCCAGATCACAGGGACCTTGCCATTCTCGTACTGAACGATGGCAACCCGCCGGGCTGGATTTTCTTCATCGGGCTGCAGCTCAATCCTGCATTCTCCAACGCGACTTCAAATTCGGGTTCGCCATGCGCTGACCCAGGCCGAGGAACGGTGCATTGTGAAACTCCAGGAGGAAGCGCATTTCATCCTCGGAAATCTTGAAAGGGAGTCTGAGCGACTGCCCCTTCGTGACAGCCTCAGCTGAGCTCCCCTTGAAAAATCATACACTCAGAATAAGTAACAAAACGCCCCACAAAGATGCTCAAAAAGCTTCGAGTGAGCTAGTCGGGGGCTGGCATTCGGGTAAGGTGGGAAGCAGCCGGGAAGCTTGATGAATTGAAGCAGGCTCGGGAAGCTGTGGAAAGATCTGGATCGGAACTTCCTCACGACGCATACCTGGACGATGCATAGGCATAGGTATGGTGCTTTAAGCTTCCGACGGTCTGCCGTGCTCGCGGCGGGTCGAAACCCGTCCTACAGGCTTCTCCAGCTTGGCGCTTTTACAAATGCACCTTAACAGTGTAAGGGCTCAAGCCTTATTGCCTGTGAACAGTGATAGACTTGACTTAAACAGCCTTTCAAGAACCGCCCGCCTGTGTAGGCGATGTGCATTACGTCCGATGCTGCGCCATGTTCGCCTCAATCCACGAACTTAACTAAAACATGTGCCAGGAAAGCCATACTACTAAGACCAACAAGCCGCAATGCCAAAACCTAAGGGTTACAAACAAATGCTGAAATGTATGGTTCACCGCGCTTGAATTGGATCTTGCTCCAGTACTTCTCGCCAACATCTTTGACGGCTTCACAAAGAACGTCCAACTTCACCTCCTCCTCTGCCTGCATAGAGCTAGGGCAGAGTGTATAGGCCTTACACTGCAATCCTCGCTCGGTCGCCATTCCACGGTCTCAGCCGGCATCTTGTGTCTCGAAAATCATGCTTGGGTTCACAGCATTTTGGCGCAGTCTCTGCATTTCTGGGCACTCTGCAATATCTAGTGAAGCTTCCATTCCCTTCAGGTTGACGGTTGTAGGTCGTTGCTTTCGATATCAGAAAACTTCATGCCTGGTTTCTTTTACATGCCCTGGCCTGAAAGATCTTCGACACCGCTGCATGAGCAATGCTCGTGCCCGGTGCTGCAAACTCCACACAATACAGCGAAAATTGCGACTGTGTCATGGGCAAGGTCATGCCGGCCGCGATTGGGCGCAGTGAACTGTCGCGGGAATTCCTGGGCAGAATACAGACATCAGCAGCAGCTAGGGACGAAGAGCTTAATGTAGTCGACATTTCACAGCTCGAATCCTGCCTGCCTTCTGGGAGGCCTGGTAATGAGCAATGGCAGGTGCAAGAGCAACATATAGCAACATCAGCACAAGTGAGCAGAATGAAGAGCACATGAAGCCTCTGCGCCAGTGCGCCCTTTCGGCGACCCTCGTCATTTCAAGTCGGAATGCGGCAATCATACTGCATATCCTATTGGACCCTCAGTGCTTGCCAACGATATGCAACAAGGACGCGATATTCATCTGGTCTGCATGCGGTATGCACAAAATCCCGGCCTTCATTGAAACAGAACGGGTCGAACGTTACAAGCATGTTCGAAAAGTCTGAACCACGAATCAGGGTGTCGAAAATGTCCCACACAGAACTCCCAATACGCTGTGTGGTGCACCGTGCCCTGCCATGCAAAACTTGCATGTAAATCTGACAGAAAAACTCTCCTTCGAAGTCTCACCAGCAATCGGACTGTCACGTGTAGCATGATTCATCCACCTTGCTCAAGAACTGAATGGAATCATCCAAAGGCACGAAAAGACAGGTCCTATCCCTGCCGTTTTCTATGTAGCTTTAGTACCTCGACTTTTGCTTGCAGCTCGAATGCGAGCGGAGACAACCAGTTTGCTTGCTGAGTTGCCGGTAGGCACGAACTTCTGACCACGCCCTTTGGGTGGCAAAGCGGCTCAGACGCAATCGCCTGGGTTGGAGCTCCAGGTGCAGCAGTAGCAGCAACAGTAGCAGCGACAGCAGCTATACCGGTAAGCAGTGGCAGCAGCAGTAGCTGTAGCAGCAGCAGTAGCTGCAGCAGCAGCAGCAGCAGCAGCAGCAGCTGTGGCTGCTGCCGCTGCTCTAAGGGACGTGAGATGCGCTGGGAACCGGATGCCACCAACCCCAGCTATGGATGATGTGGTGATCGGACAACTAGAGATCGGCCGTCATGGGCTTGCCGGGTGCATCGGATTTATCTGGCTTACAAAAGGGCAGGCAGTGTTTGCGTGCTAGCAAAAATAATCGTCATAATGATGATAGTAGCAGCAATAGGCTCCTTGACAGCATGGTGGAAGTTTCGAACAGCATGGTGGACGTTTCGAACAGGAGATACACATCGTGACAGTCTCAAAACTCATGATGCATGCAGATGCATGCTGCTGCCACTTCCGACCAGGCGCAGCATTGCGGGCTATTGTGGGAGTAGAAGCAAGCACCAGCTGTAGTCCGTACTCTCAAGCCAAAATGCTGCGCCAGGTTGAGCAACGTGCAATCACGACGGCTGTTTAGATGCTCCGAGCCTCCAAGAAGCCTGCCTTGCATCCTCTCTCGGGCTGCACAGTTGCTCTATGGAATCTCCTTCCGCACGCCTTGCTTCTCCTGTTCCGTTTCAAGGTAACGTCCTGCGTCCCGTGTCCGTCGTCAACCTGTTCACCTCCCCCCAACCCTTCTCCACCTAACGCGACCGGGGGGGAGCGATTGCTACACGCTTGCGAACGGAAGCGCTGGCAGGAGCATCAGCCTGACTCTAGGTTCAACTGATACAAGAGCAAAGAGCAATTATCACAAAGCTATGTGTCTACGAAAGATATATGCATCAATGGAGCCTCAGAGTGGTGAAAAGATGTCAAAGTTTTATCCGCAGCTTTCCCTATCTTCAGGCTGAAATCCTGCCAGGTCTACCTCAAACAAGGCAACACTTGGCAACGGGCACAGTCAGGTGGATCTCTGTCAAAGTCGATGGGGCTCCTATAACAAGGAACGTCGGTCCGCTCAGAGCTTCTCTCGTTTGTGGTCAGCTGAGCTGCTGGGATGCTCTGCTCAGCATACTGAGCATGCGGACTCTGACAGTTGAAAGTGGTTGGAGTACTCATGCCACGATGGAGGCTCTGTTCTGGAACTGATCTCCCCGCAACGGCACTTTTTGGCTTCGTCGCACCAGTGTCAACGACTGTCCAAAACCGAGTCCGTCACCCGATGCAAATGGGTGGTTGGACAGGCAGGACAAAACCTCGTTCGCGCATTTGTCGCGTCTTCCAGTCAGCCGAGTCTGAAACTTTCCGCTCGGGGTCGGTGACTGGATGAAAGCAAGTGGTTGGGACCCTGGCGTGCACCCGGAGATAGCCGGAGTTCTCCTCAAGATGCAGAACTACAGTATTACTCAGTGTCGTCAACTTGCCAGACCAATCAAGGCAGCTTTTTTGTAGGAGTCCTACTTGTAGCAGCTGAGGAGGGCCGAAGGTGGGCGCCAGGCGCGCAATGGATTTCGCGCCCTCGACGACGGCAGCCCAAGTCTGCTACCCAGGACTGACACCTGGAGGCTGTGTTCACCGCCGCCGTCCCCTGCAGATCCGAAGTCTGCAGGAGTCTCTAAAGGATCGCCATCAGCTGTTGCTGATCGAGCAAGCACAGCTTACAGCTGGCGAGCATCACACTAACTTACAGGCTCAAGCTGGAATGGAACTCGCCCTTGCGGCCCTTGCAGACCTGTAGGAAAAACAGGAGGCCCCGGAAAGAGGTGACGTCGTACGGTCAAAACATCGCTTGCCATACAATCCGAATGTCGCACTGCTTCCCCAGCCATTCACAGTGTGCTGGAGACCGTAAAACCTTAAAGTGAGAGGCCCAAACGGGAGAGAGGGGGAGAGAGGGAGAGAGGGAGAGAGGGAGAGAGGGAGGGAGAGAGAGAGAGAGAGAGGAAGAGACAGACAGAGACAGAGAGAGAAAGAAGGGAGCCAAGCTTCAGCAGGGGCTTAAGTTATTGTTTTATCGTCGGGGACACACTTTCCCCTAAACGCAGATACAGTCCTGAAGCCTGAGTGAAAGCTTGACATCCAGACTCGCACGCAGGGCATAGCGCTGTGCGCAGCAGAGGAGGGTGCATGCCCTCCACTCCATATGCCTAGCAAGCAAGCAAGCAAGCAGGCCAGCAGGCAGGCAGGCAGGCAGGCAGGCAAGCAGGCAAGCAAGCAAGCCAGCGAGAGAGAGAGAGACAGAGACAGAGACAGAGACAGAGACAGAGACAGAGACAGAGACAGAGACAGAGACAGGAAGACAGACAGAGAGAGAGGGGAGAGAGAGGGGAGAGAG